CCGCGTCGTTCTAACCCTCGCGGTTCCCGAACAAACGTCGAAAAGGCGAAGTGGTACGTTTGAAGGTCCGGGGGGGGTCGACGGAGGGGCGGCCGGGGTGCGAAAGGCGCGTCGAAGAAAAGACTCGATCGACTTTCCCAAAATTCGCCCTCTCCTATGCCGCTCGACCGCCGTAAATATTTTTTATCGACGATCATTCCGAATCTCGCGATCGGGTCCGAGTGTCGTTCGAAAATTCCTCCCTCCCGAACCCACCGGGAGAATTGGTCGTATGACGCGTCGTAATCCGTCCGACGTTCGGGTCCGCATTTGAGCGATCGTAAGTGTTTCTTAGGTCGTCTCGTTTCCGCGGCGCGAGGGATAAAGCGGAGCGACGTCGATAAGGGCAAACTTCGCGCCCCCCTCCCCCCCCAACGGCCCATAGTTTTTGAATGGGACCCCGTACGTCTCACGCGGGACGGTCGGGACTATCGATCGATCGCGTTTCGAGGGGGGGAAGTAGGGCTACTTTTCGAGCAATTTCGCTCTCTTTCCGCTCCCGTTTTCTCGTGCGCGTCCTCCCCCGCGGGGGGGTGTCGCGACTTTCGCGATCGAGTACCTCGAAAGCCTCGACCCTCCTACCCCCCCTATCCGCGAGCTCGATTTTTCCAGTTCGACGGGCGACCCTCGGCGAATTTTTCTTCGGAGGTGCGATTTTGGGGGGTGACAGCGGGGGGGTGAAGACGAATTTTCCCGGGGTAGCGGGGCATCGTAAAAATCGCGGTTTCGGAATTCGAGGCTCGTGTAAAAATTTCGTGAAAAAGCTTGGGCCGATTTTAAATTATTTTCGAAAACGTCGGGAACACGTTGTTATCTTCTTTTAATTATAACTAGATCGGATTGGAGCTCGCGTCGCTCGCTCCTACCGATCACGGCGTTTTGTTATCACACGCCGTTTTTTGTGGTTTTCCGTTTGTAAATTTTTTTTTTAACTCGATCGTTGTGCGATTTTGTAGTTTGGGTTGTTTTTAATTGACGTCGGAATTTTTTAAAATGCGAAAAAGAAAGGAAAAGGATTTTGATTCGGCTCAAAAAAGCACCAATATATTGATTTTTTTTTAAATCAAACTCGGCGTATGTGTTTGTAAAAATGCTACGCATTTTAAGACTTCGCTAGAGTGAGTATATTTTGCAGAGATATCGCCAAAAAGGAGGATACGTTTTTTGGAACATCACCTATACAAAGTAAATTTTTTAAAATTTCGATTCAACTTGTAAAATCCAGATCCGCACATAATTGTACATAAGATTATTTAATTTTGATAACACTTTTTGGTTTTGAGGAGACATCCGCTCGGCTCCGGCGGCTTTGCCGCCTCGCCTCACTCTGATTCGTAACGGTGCATAGCTCGGCTTCGCCTCGCACTGTTCAGTGCTCAACAAAGATAATTTCTCAGTTTCAATTTTGGTGCGGTAAGAAAATGCCGAAACTAATGTCAGCGAATCAGTATTTTGTTATAGAACTACGTTTTCGCAAGGATCTCCGTTTTTTTATTAAGTTTAGATGAATGACGGGAAAGGTGGGCGCGTGTAGGGCCGTAAGTAAGCGTCGTTTGCCGCCGCGAACGGGGAAAGCCGGGTCTACGGGAGAGCCCTCGTGAAGCTCAACTCGCCTTCGGCTCGCTCGACATTGATGGAGGAAAAATGCGAGCCGTTTTCGTCGCGAGAACGGCGAGCTCGAGTTATGCCGAGTCGAGAATCTTTGTTTGAATTTGTAAAAAAGTTAAAAAAAAATTCCTAAATCTACAAATAACCTAATGCCCCAAGCTAAGGGAGGGCCAAAGTGATGCCGAACTCGCCTTCGGCTCGCTCGGCATTGGTATACGAGGCGCGTGTGTTAAGAATCGAAGTCTTCGGTTACTTTACTTAGTTGGGGAAGGGTTATTAAGAATTTTTATTTCTAATAAAGTTAAAAAAAATATCTTAAACTTACAAATAACCTAATGTGCAAAGCTGCTTGGTGTCACATTTTGTTTAGCTTCATTTATAATTGTTGTTTGAATTTGTATTACGAAAAAAGTTTAAAAAAATTTCTTCAACATACAAATAACCTAATGTCCAACGCAGATTGATGTCACATTCGATTTAGCTTCATTTATAATTTTTGTTTGAATTTGTCTTTCAAAAAAGTTAAACAAAATTTTTAAAAATCTTCAAATAACCTAACGTCCCAAGCTGTTTGATGCCACACCTTTCATTTTCAGTTTTTTAAAGAAGTCTATATAAAATATGTAGGTATAAAAAACCTCGCATTGTTCAGTGTTCAACAACGACAATTTCTCAGTTTCAGTTTTGGCGTGGTAAGAACATGCTACTAAGCAGACTGATTTGATAATTTTTTTGAATTTGTGAGTAATATTTTTGTTTTTTTTTTGTGGAAACAACACCTATACAAAGTGATTTTTCTACTCAGCCTGTTTGTACACTCGGGGTTGTTTTAGCCTCCTGTAGAACAGGTTCATCCTCATCGGGAGAATTTTCTTTACGATTTCTCCACGTACAGAGTTTACATGCTATAATAGAAATCCATGAAAATAATTGGATCATTTTGAGTGGTCGTGAGGAGTTTGTGTAGTATTCCTTATTTTATTTGTTGTTTATGAATGTATTAGGCATGGAAATATGATGATTTTTAAAATTGTTCACGATATCTAACACAATCCTTATAATATGTACAGGAAAGCATAAAAATTTTAAGACAAAGAAGTTTTTACAATTTTGTTGGAACCTATAGTGTTTCGTAGGTAGTAATTCACGTGCCTTTCCATAGGAGATTCTTTACAAATGGACTTCATCCTCAAGCAAGTATTGGATAACTTAAGGTGCTGTATATTACAGTATCGTGTCCTTCAATGGTAATAAGTATATTTGAAGTACGAGCTTTTATACCTTTTTATAATGATATCGTAGTTCGCTGTTTGGACCAAGTGGTAATAGGTGGTCGCTTTAATACTAGTAGACTATGTGGACATGTAGAAATAAAAGTGGAAGGTAACGAACTAAAACTAATCCTTCGCTACCTTCCTAAGCATGAATATTTCATGTGACGAAATGCTTTCGTTTCCGCTAGAATCTTGGACATACTTTTTGCTCTAACCGGAATATAAACTGATGAATAACCTCCTATAGGACTTCTTCTTGAAGAACACGGATAATTTGTTACATCAATAATAAATTTTCATACCATTTCTATCGTAAATGTCTTTATGCTACGTAGCAACATGCACATCGGCATGAATTTTTGGTCGACATCAAGTCGATTACTCGAAATTGTGCAAATGTAGGTTTGTTTACGATGACATTTTCATAACAACGATAAAACACGTTAAATTTCCTTAAAAATGGTGTTTTTTACATAAAATAGTAATGTCCCAGATTTTTTGACAGTTCCCGTGACAGTTGTATAGATGGCGCCATTTGAAAAAAATACATCTTCTGTATCGGCGCATGCCCAATATAACCGTTCAAATAATACCACATTTCAACCGCGTAGGTTCATTTGAACGTTGCGGCGGTTCCTATTTTCTTAGGAAGTAGTGCTTTTTTGCGCAACTTCCATTGGGGAGTATTCCCTGACGTGTACCACGGCGTACTGCGTTGAGGGGTGTACACGTAGTGTATAATACTTCCCTAACAACAACATAGTTCCCTTTCAGCTCATTTTTCGGATAGGGTGTTTTGTTTAGGTCATTTCCGCTGATAGTTCCGCTTTCTCCGCTCGTTCGAGGAAAGATAGTGTTTGGATGTTAGTTAGTTAGCTTAGGTTAGGGGGCTAATAAACCAATAAACCGAATGCTCCATTCTAAAAAACAGTTTTCATCAATCTGACAATAGAATCACATTTATACATACCTAGTCTAAGAATTTTAGCATTACGGGGGAACTCAGAGCCGCCCCCTTCAACTTCTTCGGTGGCCCCATACCGATGTCGAACTGAAGGTAACCTGAAATCCTATTAACAAAAGATTTTTTAATTTCATTTTTGCTAGGAATTTGTCACTTTACAAGATAAATTAAACGATAAAAGAGGGTAAAATGATCCCACGAAGATCCCAATTCCACGAGGTGGAAGAATGTCTTCGAAATCTAAAAAAATACGTGCGCCATAACTTGATCGTTTACCATAATTCACTTACCAATAAAATAAACAATTAAAAACAATATAAATGGACCGATGAACGTAAATGAAAAATTTACTAAACTTCACCCAAGACGAAACGTGATCGCAATGGAACCTGGAAATAACGTGGCGCCACCGTCGTAGAATGAACTACCTTCGCGACGGGGATCTAAATATCGACGTGACTCCCTAATTTTTATTAAATATAACCTCTCGGCACGGGATTAATGCGATTTCGATTTTCTTCGGAGAGGTCAATTTAAATAGAGTACTAATTATGCTAAATTTTTCCCATTGTAAGTATATAACTACGAATTATAGTTTAAAAATTATAAAAGAAAATTGGCACAGACGAACTAACGTATTTTTTACAAAAAAATTTCCAGAACCTTTATTTTTCAATCGATTCGGACGGTGAAAGGTGCATCTGATAGCTAATAATTCGAGCTAAATATTCCCCATTGAACGTACCCGTCTGGCAAGTCTCTTAAAAAAATTATTACAGAGTATATAGTTCAATGATTTATATAAAACATGACAGTACTATGAAGTTAGGTTATAAAAAATTACTGATATTCAGTTTTTATTTGATCAAAATGGCGGATAGCCGGTTACATTCTGTGGTGCTATACAGTGCGAACAGTGCTTTACTATGCCGCTTCAATAAATAATGACGTTAGTAAATATTTGCCGCAATAGGCGCGGGGCACCAATACTAATTTATAACCTTAAACTTCAAAACAAATTAAACATTTGACATATGATTATATTTAACCCAAATAAAGATTTAATCACCTTGTAAGTTTCCAAATGATGTGAAATTATACGAATAGGAAATTGCTACAACAATTGAAACAATTTTATTTCTTTTACAAATCGTTAATATTGAAGTAATTGGATAAATCACATGTTATAAACAACTGTTCGAAGATCTCGTCACCATAATTAAGACAGGGGTCCACTCTTTTCTTTGTTTTCGAAGCCGGCATGTAAGTGCCGTTGCATAATGCTTCAAACGGTAGCTTCTATATCTGCTCGTAATTCGGCAATGGTGTGTAAACGGTTTCGAATACGTTGACATCTAGTAAATTTGCATGCAATATTTTAGGACTTTGCAAGTCCAGACGATGAGTTCTTGTAACACGGTTACTTTAAAGGATAGAAGTACAATTTTCTCCAGGCAATAGTGTCACACGTTCCGTATGAGATATCCGTTAGTGGGACAAATTATCGCAGTTGCTTTTTTCGACTTTGTTCAAGACGAGCAAGAATATCTTTTACAAACGCCTTATTAGCAATCGCTAAGCGGCCAGGTGACTTCCCAGAAGCAAGACTTCCTGTATGTGAAACCGTTCAAGTAAACGACGAGCATTTCGGCGTATATTGTTGTAATCCTCGTCACGGTTGACATCCGTTTATCGAAACTCCTGTATACACAAACGTATCGAGTACTCTCAAACTTCACTTTCATCTTTAGTTCCATTACGGAAACAGAACTGCAAACGCATCTTATTCTCTTCTAAGAAGTAAAAGGCTTGTCGAAGTAAACCTATTGCCTATTACACGCTACAACTAAAAAAACGTTTGTTTGTAATTTACAAGTAATTTACCCACCTTGTAAATATTCGAAAGAAACTGGTAGTCTTGAAAAAAGTCGTGTTGAAAGGAACGATAGTAATAAGAATTAGAAATTATAGTTTGTGAAATTATAGGTTATATTTTGTATTGGATAAATATAGAAAGTACCGCAATCCATTTGGCTCGTGTGTTAAAGAGAGAAAGCATAATTTTTGCCCAAAAAAATTCTAGTAACTTTAATGTTGGGGATTGTATCACCTGTTTAGAGATGGGATTATATTTATATAAAACATGACAGTACTATGAAGTTAGGCTATAAAAAATTACTGATATTCAGTTTTTATTTTTAAATTTTTTTAAGTTGGCAGCAAATTTTCACCAAAATGGCGGATGATTGTGTTACTTTCTATATCTAGTGACTTTAGTATATAGGTGCACATACACGATACCTGGTTGCGGCAAATAATTACTATTGTCATATTTTATAAGAGCGGTGCAGCATATATTGATCTCTCAGTATGCGCACGTGTGTAAATATACGAGATATCGCGTTTTAAGTGTTTTCAATGGTGTCAAATTACATATCGTTATATTTCCTTTATTTATAGTCCGATCTCGATAAATATTCAGTATTGAGAGGTTGGAGAAATTGAGGCACCCGTTTCCATCCTTTCGGCACTTCTATCTCCATTCCGAAATTCTGACCATCCCATCGGTTAGATTACATCGAGAGCTTTCCAAAGATACCTATAAAGACCCGTCTACGACGCACCGTTCTCGAGATATCGCGTTTTAAGTGTTTTCGGTGGTGTCAAATTACAAATTGCTATATCTCCGTTATTTACCGACCGATCTCGCTGAAATTTGGTATCGAGAGGTTTGGGGACCAGGGCCATTCGATTCCGTCATTTCCGAGCTGGTATCTCAGTTTCCAAATTTCGACCCTCCCATCGGTTAGATTAGGTCGAGAACTTTCTAAAGACACCCAGGAACCCCTATCTACGACGTTCCGTTTTCGAGATATCGCGATTTAAGTTTTTAATAAAAAATCCAAAAAACGGTTATTGCGTAGATCGTCTAGAAATGTCGCGAAACGCGTGATTCCGAAGTATCGAGGTCGCAGGTCGAAAGACGACAGAGATGCGTCGATATCTCGAAAAGGGGAGGGGATAGGAAAAAATTGAAAATCCCATTTCGAGCCCCCGGCCGGACGCAGCTACGGTTTAAATTTGGTCCAGATCGGCCGGTAAATAAGGGAGATATTAAGAGATGCGCGGCCCTTTAAAACGCATCCATGCGCGTGGACTTAGAAAAAAAAGGCACACCCCCGCCCCCCGAGCGACACGGGCCCCCCCTTCGGCCACAGGCTGACGCCCGGCGCCTACTGAAGACGCGGTCGAAATTTTTCCCGGTTTATACGTACAACTTCGGAGATCGATCGCGTACGAGTAGATACGGGATTGTATATATATAAATTGAGTATATATATATACTCGTTTGTGACAAAATTTTTTTTATCGACGTTTCGCGACCCGTTTGTTGTCGATGAGGGAAGGACACAATTTGGACTGTTGGCGACGGCGGCGTCGGGTGACGTCAACAGGCGTCGCCAAAATGCGAATCTCGGTAACGGAAAGTCGTACGAAGGCGTGTTAGGTATCGTTGGAAAGGTCTCGGCGGCGCGATTACGATAGAATAGGTTGAGCGCGTCTTCCCATCATATTTGACTTGGATGGTTCGGCCCATAGTTTTTGAATGGGACCCCGTACGTCTCACGCGGGACGGTCGGGACTATCGATCGATCGCGTTTCGAGGGGGGGAAGTAGGGCTACTTTTCGAGCAATTTCGCTCTCTTTCCGCTCCCGTTTTCTCGTGCGCGTCCTCCCCCGCGGGGGGGTGTCGCGACTTTCGCGATCGAGTACCTCGAAAGCCTCGACCCTCCTACCCCCCCTATCCGCGAGCTCGATTTTTCCAGTTCGACGGGCGACCCTCGGCGAATTTTTCTTCGGAGGTGCGATTTTGGGGGGTGACAGCGGGGGGGTGAAGACGAATTTTCCCGGGGTAGCGGGGCATCGTAAAAATCGCGGCTTCGGAATTCGAGGCTCGTGTAAAAATTTCGCGAAATTCTACTCGGCCGATTTAAAATTATTTTCGAAAACGTCGAATTTGAGTTGTTATCTTCTTTTAATTATAACAATGCCTAGAAACGTACACATACACTGGGCTCTATAATTACATATACATATATATAAAAATGAATTTTTAGCATTTGAGGTACCTACCTTTCGTTGAATCTCGATCGCTTAGCTTAGACGTAGATCTTATTCGCGCAACCCGTTTATCGTCCACGACGTAAGGGTGAGATTTCGACGACGGCGACGCCGGCGGCGCCGGCGCCGCCGCAGCCGGCGCCGTCGGCGCGCGTCGTCGGTCGTCGCCAAAATGAGAATCTCGGTAACGAAAAGTCGTAGGAAGGCGTGCGAGGTATCGTCGGAAAGGTCTCGGCGGCGCGGTTAGGATGGGCCGTGTCAAGTTCGGGCGCCGGCGGCGCCGACGCCGGCGTGCGTCGTCGGGCGTCGCCGAAATGAGAATCTCGGTAACGAAAAGTCGTAGGAAGGCGTGCGAGGTATCGTCGGAAAGGTCTCGGCGGCGCGGTTAGGATGGGTCGTGTTAAGTTTCGGCGCCGACGACGCCGACGCCGGCGCGCGTCGTCGGGCGTCGCCGAAATGAGAATCTCGGTAACGAAAAGTCGCAGGAAGGCGTACGAGGTATCGTCGGAAAGCTCTCGGCGGCGCGGTTAGGATGGGCCGCGTTAACTTTCCAACTAACTGCAATCTAACCTAACTGCGCGCGTCGACCTAACCTAACCGAGCATTTCGACCTAACCTAACGTGTCTATCTAACCTAACCTAACTGCGCGCGTCGACCTAACCTAACTTAACCGCGATCTAACCTAACTGAGCATTTCGATCTAACCTAACACGTCGATCTAACCTAACCTAACCGCGCACGTCGACTTAACCTAACCTAACCTAACCTAACCGCTACCTAACCTAACTACACATCGCGACTATCTAACCTAACCCAATTGCAATCTGACCTAATTGTGAGGGAAGGGGGGAGGGGGGGGGGTTGATTATTTGCGTAAAACCACCTTCGATTTCCAGATAAATAAGAAATATACGCAATTTTTTACAAATATCGACGTTCGAGTGCCCAAAAAAGTCACTCGGGGACCGCGTATTCTCGCCAAACTTTACCGCTCACCTAATCTCGTAGTGTAGAGTCGATTTTGGCAAAAAAAAAAAAAATTTAATTTTTCGTCAAAATTTTTTCGAAAATCGCCGTTTTCATATCGATTACGATTTAACGCACTTGCGATCCTATCGTGGGGACTCCGGGGCAAAATTATAGAAGGTCGCATCCAAAGTGATCGTTTAGTATCGAAAAGTCCCCGGAATTCCACCGGCAAGTGCCCGTTTTGCGCCCATTTTCGTGAGCAATTTCATTTTTTTTTCCACGACCTCTCCCGGAGACGCCTTCGATTTTTTGGGGGAGGTGAAGGTGTCGTAGAATAGCCTCGTCCTTCCTCTTTCGATCGCCGCCTTAACCTCTCGAATACCTCGAATATTGACGAAATTACGAATTTTTTTGTAAAGGGGCGCAAAATTCGAAAAACAAAAAGCGCCCTCTAGCGTCGAAACCGTAAATCTTTTATTAGAATTTTTTCTCGTTTTTGCAATCTCCGCGTCAAAACGCATAAGATGACGTCGAAAAAGCGACGATTTTTGACAATTTTTTTTTTCGATTTTTTCGAAGGAAGGGGATAGTATGGAAATTTTTTCGTTTTTTAATTTTTGGGATAACTTTCGATGTAGGACTCGTATTTCGACGAAACCTTTTGTAACGTGTCCTTTGAGGTAAAATGCAACGTCCGACGTGTCGATCGCTCGATTCGGGGACGTTTTTGAATTTTCGAGTTGCCCCCTCGGGAATATCGATTACGCGATAAATTTTTGGAAAATTTCTATTCGAAAGGTCGTCTCCGTACGTGGGCACTCCGGAACTCGATATTTTACGTCGGTCGGGGCCGTCGACGCGTCTCCGAGTTTCGTTTGGCACATCGAGACACGAAAAAAAACACGTCTTTCGGTCTCGGCGGCTGCGCCGCCTCGCCTCGCTTCTTTGTTCGATTCCGGAACGCACACCGATCGATACGGAAGAGACGCGGACGTAGAAAACCGCATCGTTTTGGTCCTCGGAGTTTCCGAATAACCTTTAAAATACGAAATTTACCGAAGAGAAGAGGGTGGGGTGGGGGGGGAGGGGGGGAAGTGTCGGACGTAAAGTCGGAGAATACCGATACGAGATCGACTTAAAAAACCGCATCGTTCTAACCCTCGCGGTTTTCGAACAGAGTACGTTTAAAGATTTTTGGGGGAGAGGGGGGGGATGGGAGGTTAACGGAGTGATGTCGGGGTACGTAACGGACTTCGAAGAGAATACTCCGATCTAAGACTTGCCAAAAACTTACCTCCTCCGAACGAAAATTGACACTTCGCTCGGCTTCGGCGGCTGCGCCGCCTCGCCTCGCGGCTTTTCGCGATTCGCCGTCGATTCCCGAACGCACTCCGATCGATACGGGAGATCGACGTGGACGACCGTCTCGTTTTAAGAGTCGGCGTTCCCTAATAACCTTTAAAATTTGAAATTTACCGACGATATGGAGGGGGGGAGGGGGGAAATGTCGGACGTAAGGTCGGACGATGCCGATACGAGATCGACGCAACAAACCGCGTCGTTCTAACCCTCGCGGTTCCCGAACAAACGTCGAAAAGGCGAAGTGGTACGTTTGAAGGTCCGGGGGGGGGGTCGACGGAGGGGCGGTCGGGGGGCGAAAGGCGCGTCGAAGAAAAGACTCGATCGACTTTCCCAAAATTCGCCCTCTCCTATGCCGCTCGACCGCCGTAAATATTTTTTATCGACGATCATTCCGAATCTCGCGATCGGGTCCGAGTGTCGTTCGAAAATTCCTCCCTCCCGAACCCACCGGGAGAATTGGTCGTATGACGCGTCATAATCCGTCCGACGTTCGGGTCCGCATTTGAGCGATCGTAAGTGTTTCTTAGGTCGTCTCGTTTCCGCGGCGCGAGGGATAAAGCGGAGCGACGTCGATAAGGGCAAACTTCGCGCCCCCCTCCCCCCCAAACGGCCCATAGTTTTTGAATGGGACCCCGTACGTCTCACGCGGGACGGTCGGGACTATCGATCGATCGCGTTTCGAGGGGGGGAAGTAGAGCTACTTTTCGAGCAATTTCGCTCTCTTTCCGCTCCCGTTTTCTCGTGCGCGTCCTCCCCCGCGGGGGGGTGTCGCGACTTTCGCGATCGAGTACCTCGAAAGCCTCGACCCTCCTACCCCCCCTATCCGCGAGCTCGATTTTTCCAGTTCGACGGGCGACCCTCGGCGAATTTTTCTTCGGAGGTGCGATTTTGGGGGGTGACAGCGGGGGGGTGAAGACGAATTTTCCCGGGGTAGCGGGGCATCGTAAAAATCGCGGCTTCGGAATTCGAGGCTCGTGTAAAAATTTCGTGAAAAAAGCTTGGGCCAATTTTAAATTATTTTCGAAAAGGTCGAATTTGAGTTGTTATCTTATTGTAATTATAACAATGCCTAGAAACGTACACATACACTGGGCTCTATAATTACATATACATATATATAAAAATGAATTTTTAGCATTTGAGGTACCTACCTTTTGTTGAACCTCGATCTCGCTTAGCTTAGAAGTAGATCTTATTCGCGCAACCCGTTTATCGTCCACGACGTAAGGGTGAGATTTCGACGACGACGACGCCGGCGTCGCCGCAGTCGGCGACGTCGGCGCGCGTCGTCGGACGCCGCCAAAATGAGAATCTCGGTAACGAAAAGTCGTAGGAAGGCGTGCGAGGTATCGTCGGAAAGGTCTCGGCGGCGCGGTTAGGATGGGCCGTGTCAAGTTCGGGCGCCGGCGGCGCCGACGCCGGCGTGCGTCGTCGGGCGTCGCCGAAATGAGAATCTCGGTAACGAAAAGTCGTAGGAAGGCGTGCGAGGTATCGTCGGAAAGTCTCGGCGGCGCGGTTAGGATGGGTCGTGTTAAGTTTCGGCGCCGACGACGCCGACGCCGGCGCGCGTCGTCGGGCGTCGCCGAAATGAGAATCTCGGTAACGAAAAGTCGCAGGAAGGCGTACGAGGTATCGTCGGAAAGCTCTCGGCGGCGCGATTAGGATGGGCCGCGTTAACTTTCCAACTAACTGCAATCTAACCTAACTGCGCGCGTCGACCTAACCTAACCGAGCATTTCGACCTAACCTAACGTGTCTATCTAACCTAACCTAACTGCGCGCGTCGACCTAACCTAACTTAACCGCGATCTAACCTAACTGAGCATTTCGATCTAACCTAACACGTCGATCTAACCTA